AGCACGAGAACCGTGAGTGATGTTCCTTCGGAGGTGCAGGAAACAACGATGACTCTGCCAGTGGGCGTACACGGGCAACATACCGCAAGCGCAAGGATAACCAGGATGGACAACACAATGACACTACCTCAGCGAAGCGCCCCCGACGTACCTGATCGATCGCATAATGTGCAAAACATTGCAGGCGGTCGTCAAGTATCAGGGTACTCATGTTTCGACGTTGCCCAAGTTAGTGCACCGAACCTTCTCGAATAGCCGCTATCCATCTCACACCTTGCCTCACCAATCCTCTGCTGCAATACGCCAGGTATGCCCGATACCTGCGACCACTAAGTATATATACCGGCTTGGCTTCACGAGACAGTGTGCGCACTCTGCTGGTATTAACATTTCACGCCTCCATTCGCTCCATATGCCCTCTGACGCCTCTAGCCCTAGCACGCTGTCCAGCCCCTCCTCTGACACCGGACGCTCTGACGGACCGCCCAATACCACCACGCAGGATGTCCCTGCCTACCTAGTAAGACGCCTGGATACCGGGGTATACGAACGTCTGGAACAAGCTATCGAGGCGATGGGAAAGGCGGCTCTGGGCTTCAACGACATAACGACGGACTTCAACCTGCAAGACGGGCAGTGGAACAACGGCCACCAGCGCTACATCGACAACAATGGCAATCGTTTCACTGCAAACGTGTGGGGAGAGGTGCGAAGCTCCGAAGACGGTACCAAGCTAGATGCGAAAGGTAATCATTATCCTGACTGGACGGTACGCTTAGCACATCATCATAAAAGTCAATGATAACGCTAACGGTGCAATAGCCTATTACCGACGACACCAATATAAAAAATGTGCTGGTAATCGGCGAGCCCGGCGATGCAGCGCGTTTCGACAAACTCCACGCTTTTTGGCACAACCAACTAGTTACGCTCCAGGACGTACGGAGGTTCGACGAAGAGCGAGAAGAAGATGACAAAAACAACCATGTATGTCTTCTGTGGTCCATGCGACTGAAGGTACATCTAATAATACATTCAGGACACTCGATTCAGGATTAACAACTGGCTCAGGCCCCCGAGAGGGGATGCTCGTGAGGACCGCAACCTCATTGCGCTGACAATTTCGCCGGCCAAATATGTGGTAATGCTCGATACCCACCAATCGTACTCCGTCTATGCTCATAACAATACCAGAAACCTGACAGGAAAGACAAAGCGGTCAAAACTCCGTTCCGTCCGGGCTTGAGCAAGGTCAAAGTCGAATGCAGTGACAAGGCGTCGATATCTTCGAATGGCAATAACGACGATGTGATTATGCAAGAAGACCATGATGTGCCACCTTCCTTCCCCCGGTAAGTTGCAATGCTACAATATCTGACGTATGGCTGCTGAGGGACCCAAAGAAAAGGATATAAAGCTCGGAGCGACATACGACCCCAGGCTTCTTCCGGACTACAGCGGACCGCTCTATCAGCTCAAGACTGCGAGAGTGACTCAGCCCGACATTGTGGACGTCAACGGCAAGCTTATCCCACCGTGGCTGCTGCACGACAAGCTTCGGCCTGGTACGCTTATTGTCGCGAACGTTGAACTAGTGGTCTGGGTGTTCAAAAAGGGCAAGGAAATATCAAAGGTAATTGTCTTCGGAGACAAAATCATGTCGATAATGACGAACATTGTTCTGCAGACCTATCAAGTTGTCGCGCACAAGATCAAGGTCGTTGATCCCTCTGATGCTCCCGCAGAGATCCCGGCTCCTGGAAATCTGAAACCGAAGCCGGATGCTGCCACACCCATGACGCCTTCAGCTCAATCAAAAAGATCATTTGACGAATTCATGAGCCCAACACCATCTCCCGCATCTTCTCCGGTGAAGAAAACAAGGCGTACTACTACGAAATAATTACTTTTCTTGTAGATACTTGAGATTAAAAATTAAATTGCCATCTGAGATATGCTCGTGGAACAGTCAAGTCCGTGTCACCAGACTCGTTCTACACGAATACACCATCTGATGTCTTCTCTGCAGGAAGACATCCATATTACGGGGAAGGAACATTGTCGGCACACTGCACAGATAATGTTCTCGCACCGTCCTCATTGTCACCCCGACAACATCAAGACTTGACTTC